TCTTTAAGAGCTAACATCAGGTGTTGTATATGTCATACAACATCAACATGTATTAAGCAATTTGTTGCTCTAAACACTGTAGTGGATATGTAATTCCACTTCTATTCAAGCCTTAGGTATCTACATACCATGCTCCCCCAGATTACTCCATCTTCTTTAAAGATGGTGTATCTTCAAATTTCTTATTTTGGGTTTAATCTGTCAAAACTCGAATGGTGCTTTAAGCACCGCCTTGATAACTCTGAACTCATCCAGTATGAATACTAGCCGACTATGCTATCTTCCTATTGGAACTGTAAAAGGTCTAGGAATTTAGCTATTTCTTTACTTTAGGGGTATCGTTATTATGACCGTCTTACCCCCTCAACGATCACATTCATCTTTTATAGATCACTTTTACCTTCAATGCATAGTATGCATTGCATTATCTGAAGTATGGGGAAGTATCTTTCTTAATTGTCTTTCTTAATTAATCTTACATTTCTCCCCCTCAAAAATGTGGTATGAACTTTTCTACCACAATTTCGAAACATTCAGAACTCTTGTGAATGAGGAAACTTTGATTACTTATTTCATCCACATGATTACATCATGCAAACAAAATTCATATGGGAGTACATTTTTCTCATTACACTTCAAAACTCAACATAGTCTATCATTATCAATACTTCTGCAAGTCACGCTTGCATATCATTCTTATCTTTTGGTTCACATGTAACTTTCTTTTGTTCTTAAACTCATTGAGTACTTAATGACCATGACACGATCAGAGTGTACGGTCAATTCTAGGATAGCATAAGAGCTACCCCAAACTTCTTTCCAAGTGCGAAATACACTGAGAGCATATGAGTCATCATATCCTTCTCCCGCCATACGGGACAAGTACTATGCCAAACTCTCCCGCCATGTAGGATTGGTTAACACATGTACTATGCCAACTTTACCCCGCCATGCGGGTATTTTCTCAAACTTTTCCCGCCATACGGGTACTATCACAAACTTTTTCCCGCCATACGAGATAATTCCCTTGAACGAACATAATTGACAGGATTGACTCGTGTTCAATCATCAAATTCAGAAATAAATCTGAATACTCTTTAATACACATGCTTAATCTGACATTGGTCAAATTAAACATGCATGTGACTTTTACTACTCTCATAAGTGAAACTAAAAATAAATTCTTCTTCACAGAGAGTACATAAAAGACATTTCTCAATGAGGACTCTCATTAATCTATCTCATTTCTTGGATCAATATCCTAGAATACTTTTCTTTTGAAGCCATTCTTTAAAGAGAACACAGTCCCTTAAGCAATGGCATTCTTTCATACATAACTTGTCCTTAGGCATTTCATCATCTGAGTCACAAGTACCCAGCTCATTTCTCTTACTGCCTTCAAGAATGAAAGCATGGAAGTCTTTTGTCTGAAAAAATATTCAACAATAATACTCGTTAAACTTTGAAATCTTTATGTTCTATTCTATATCACCGTTGGGCCGAAATAGAATAAAACATCATTCTTCTACATTAATTCCACATCACCGTTGGGCAGAAATGGAATTAACGTATAGAAATTCAATAATCTTGAAAACATAGAACTGCTCCTCAAAATTAAATTCTCCCGTTGGTTCGAATTTAATTAGAAGACAATCATCTTCATTGCAGCGGAAACATGAAAATACATTTCTCTAGTTTAAGAGCATTCTTTGATCTTTATCTATTCTCTAAAAATTGGTCACTTTGATGCAAAATTATCAAAGATTTAAACTTTAAACATAAAACTCATAAAATTATAATATTGTTATCATCAATGTTGGTCAGAAAATAACAATACCATAATTTAACTTTAAGCTTAAACTCATAAATGAACTTATAATATTGTTATCATCAACGTTGGTCAGAAAATAATAATATTATAATTCATCTTATCTATAAACCGACTATTCCTCCAATTATATTTTTTTTCTTCTCTTTGGTTCCAATTTTAACTGGAGGATAAACTTTTCATCATTTACTGAATAACTATAACTGCTCTTCAAATTAGAAGACAATAAACATTTAACTTTGCAGCGGAACTATGAACATAATTGTTGAATTTTACTCACAGGAAAATTCTCTTTTCCAATTTTCTTTGAGCCATTTATCACTGGAAAAATTAGAAAAAGAAAATGGCTTAAACTTTAACTGCGCTGTGGCCCAACCATCAAAATGGCCCGGCCCAACTCGGCACGCGCGCGCGCGCAGCCACCCAGGCCACAACGTGGGCCTGGGCCGGCAAAGCACCGTGGCGCGCTCGCCCGCCTGGGCCGCTGAGTGGCCCGCTTCATCTCCACCGTCCGCGCTCATCCGACGGTCGCCCGGCCTCTTCGCCCGAACAAAACCCAGCGTCGCGGCCGGCAACCCCAGAACCCTAGCCTCATTTCTTTCTCCCTTTCTCTCTCACGCATCTCTCTCTCTCAGCAGCGCGACGCATCTCGAGTGACAGCGAGCCGCGCCAGAGGAGACGACGAAGACGGCGCCACCGCGGGCCCTCTTGCCGGCGAGCGCGCTCCCCATCGGGAGAGCGCGCCGCCGTCAAGCGGCTCCGTGTCGGCGCCCTGTACCCGTACCCACGCGGATGCACCTTGGCGACGAACACCGGCGCGGTCCGATCTTTCCCGCACGACGGCGGAGATGGCAGTTGTGAGGTAAGCCACCGGCCTTGCTTTTCTTTTTCCCCTTCTGCGTTTCTGCTTATTTGGATCTTGCTTCTCTCGGTTTTGACCGATTTGGGGATGGGGATTGGATCTAGGGTTAGGGTTTCGGTTCCTATTCTTCTTCCCCTAGTTCGAGTCACGGGTTTAGGGTTCGGATCAAGCGATCTTGAGGTCGAGCCCCTTCTATCTTCACCCAGTTAGGGTTAGGGTTAAGGAACCCTTTCTGTCTGCTCAGATCCGAAGGATCTAATCCGTTCTTTTCCTTTGCTATTCTCTTGATTCTCTTCCCGCGCGTCAGCAAGCCGGCGGTGGGTACTCCATCCCGCATGAGGCGGTAGTGACAGCGGCGGGGAAGCCTTGGTAAGACTTCCCCCGGACCGCCGTCCATTTCTTTTCCCTTCTGTTAGGGTTAGGGTTATGGGTACCCCTCCTCCCCTTTCTCTCTATTCTTTGCTAGGATTAGGGTTTCTACTTCTTCCGATTTAAAAACCGTTCATCTTCCCCACGTGGTTCTTCGTTCTCTGTCTAGATCCGAACGGATCTAGTCCATCTTTTCTTTTCTAATCGATTTCTAGCCCCTGACAAGATCCACACGCTAGATCGATGGCTTTGATACCATTGTTATATCGTTTGAATCATCTAGGAGTGGATCCAGTAGGGATTCATTGGGCTTCTTGTAGTAATGGTGTGAACAGAGAGAGACAGAGAGGGAGAGGAAGAGCTAGGGTTAGGTACTGACCATCCATTGAGTAGGGGATCTGGCCATCAGGTTCATCGGTGAAGTTCTGCGCTAGGCAGCGACGGTCGGAGAAGAGAGAGCGACGCAGTGAAGACCGTGGTGGCGCAGTGCAGTGGCGGCGGCGGTGCTTCCCGTCACTGGCTGCGCCCCTCTGTTAGATCGGAGTAGGGTTTCTAGGTGGGGCGTACGGCTTAGGCGAACCTCGTACTGAGAGCCGCTGACCCCACCTCTATTTAATGCGCAGTGTGACGGGGGCCCGCCAGCCATAGATGGACTGGGCGCCCCCGATCAGGGCGCGAGGTCAAGGCCCAAGTGGCCGTTGGGCCACTGTGGTTGGGAGATCAAACCAACAGCGTATAGTTGCAAACGGCGATGGGCGCCCCACGAGCCCGCTGGGCTGCCTGCGCTGCAAAGCCAGCCTTAGCGCGTGCCGCAAGCCCGCATACCCGACGCAGGTTTATGCGGCTAATACGCATCGTCCGGCGGGCGCCGCGAACCCGTCTCGACTCGATGCAGCGAGGTGCGAACCTCCCTCCCCCTCCGCCGACGCCGCCTCTGCTTCCACGGCTGGCTAGTACGTACTCTTCCAGCATTTCGCTGCTGGACCGCTTCGGGCGCCTGCTATGGTTTGGAGGGGGTTGTCGGGCCGGGTCTGAAGACCAGCTCCATGTTTTTTTTGGCTGAGGATAGGGGCTGCAGGACAACTCTAGGAAAAAGATTGATTTACGACAACTCCAATACACACCAGTTTTTCTTTTTATAAAATTCCATCGGACTTAAATAAAAAGATTGACTTAGGACATCTTTAGAAATTGATTTATTTGTGGATTGAGACTGGTTTGTCATAATCTGTTTACCTAATCAAATGATTTGACTTAGGACATCAGACTTAAACCTTTTTGTCATAATCTGTTCTATATCCGTTCTGTCATAATTTGTTTACCTAAAATTGTTTTTTATGCAGAATAATACCACGAAGTAATGTCACAGTCCGGGGCCTCAAATGTTTCTAGGGCCTTTCAAAGGCGAAACATCGCCAGGAATCAATTTGATTCAGCCGTTGAACAGTACTGTCTCTGTCTTATCTTCAAATGCCAAACATTGAAATCAGTCCCTTGCTAATGTGTGGTGATATGTGACTTAGATGCTACTCCATCTATTCTAAATTATAAGTTGTTTTGACTTTTGTAGAAATATAGTTTTTATATGCATCTAGATACGTTGTCTACGTATACAGTAAAGACGACTATGTATCTTAAAAAGCTAAAATGACAAAATTTGTAACAAAGGGAGTAGTAAATGTCTATGTATTATCTTTAAATTAAATGCCAAACCGTAAGCCCTGTCACTGGAGAAAGGGTGTGAAATTAAAACGTTCGACGGGAAATATAACTAAACAAGGGCTGGACCTCGCTGCTCCATCAATGTGGCAGGACGTGCTACACTTCCAGGGTGTGCATCGTGGCAGGTTGGCGATTAAGTGAAAGAGGACGAGACATGAGACAGTTAGGAAGTAGTTTGCAGTTGAAGGAAGGAGCAGATATGGATGGATGGATGGATGGATGGAGATTCAGTGGTTAAAAGTACTGCAGGTCTTGGATCATGTCTTCCTTGTTAATCTGCAGGTCTTGGATGTAAGATGTGGAATTGGGGGGGCCTTAAGGGAAATAGCCAGATTCAGGTAATGAGTTAAAAAAATAAACTGCCATATTATACAGATGTCTCAATGCTATTTGTCATTCTAGCTCAACAGATATAACTGGACTAAACAACAACGCTTACCAGATATCAAGGGGCAAGGTTTGGTTATTCTGACTTATTCTTCAAGAAGTACAATATTAAACTTGTTAGCATATATACTTTTGCGTCAGATGCAATATAGGCTATTTGCATTTCAGGAGCTCAATTTTTCGGCCGGTTTGAGTGAGCAGTGCAACTTCATAAAGGTGAAGTTGTATCCGTTATCAGTAAATTATAATGGTTTTCGTCGGATCATGACCTTTCTTTATACTAAAATCTAATGTGCCTTACTATCTTTTTTGGCAATTGTAGGGAGACTTCATGAACATGCCATTTCCTGACAACACCTTTGATGCAGCCAACGCAATAGAGGCCACAATTTATGCTCCTGATGTAGTACGACTCACAAAATAAACTGCAAGCTAGAGTTATGTTTTTGAGTGAACACACAGTCCAGTGTTGCTGAGATTGTTTTTGGTATCTGGCTATTACAGCTAGGTGCCTACAGGAGATATACCGGGTGCTGAAACCTGGTCAATATTTCGCACTAGATGGACTGCGCTTGACTGATAAATTTGATCCAAACAACGCTAAGCATAGGGACCTCAAGGCCAAAATTGAGCTCGGCTGTGCCTTGCCTGACGTCCGTACCACTCGTCAGTGCATCCAGGCTATGAAAGAAGCTGGATTCGAGGTGCTGTACTAAAACCATCAGGCTATGGTTTCAATGAGACAGATCTAGGTCAAATTACTTTGGGATATATAACGAAATGACTCTTCTGTTTGGCGAGGGATCTTGCTGAGGACTCTCCATGCCCATGGTACTGGGACATAGATGCCCACCTTTTCTCATGGAGCAGCTTCAGTTACTCTGGTGTCGCAAAGTTCCTCATGCGTGCAATTGTAAGTTACAGGACTGTACTGAGACATGTTTTAGGTAGTCGTATAATCTGCAGGCTTTTGTGGGTAAGAATGTCTCAAGCTACTGCTTTATCGTTAATTTTATTGCAGGCTGGTACACTGGAGTTCCTCCGGATTGCTCCGAAAGGCAGCAGTAAGCTTGTTAGCATGCTGCATAGTGCATCCAATGACCTCATCATAAGCTGTCGGTAAGTCTTGAAAGGAAACTACAATGTCCTTATCAGAATCATAGAGTTGAGCAACCAAAATAAAATTTGACAGAAATAATGGACGATGCATGATCACAGGGAACAGATCTTTACAGTGACCTTCTTTGTCCTTGGCCGGAAACCTCTCAAGGAAAGTGATGTTTAAAGCAACCTACAATATAATGTCTAATGGAGAAAAGAATAAAGTTTCGTCGGATCCTTCTCCATTAAGCCTTATAAGATATATATATACTACGGAAGATGCTTGCTTGCATATGTAATCATATACAGTACTAGATTACTGATTGTGATGTATTTGAAATAATCATATTTGCCTTCAAATGTTATAGAAGATGTTTGTTTGCACATACACTATACCAGATTACTAATTGGGATCGTCTATGTGGAATAAGTATATTGTAAAGTTGAATTGTGACTCAAATACTACTTAGATTAGGATCTGCAATAATGCAACTATCAGAACGCCCGCCCGTGACTTTACGTCCGGACGCAGCTACCCAAGAGAGATCCTCATTCGAACGGACGCCTCCGACCGCTCACTCCAGCACGCGATGATCGCCTCGCCTCGCACTCCATTCTTATCCCTTCCAAGGCAGACCTGCCTCACCCCACGACGCGGCCATAGCTACCTCCTTGGCATGCGGCGGCGCCTCATCCACCCGGCGTGTGCGCTCCCCACCCCGGTGTCCTCCTCCCCTACTCCGGTGATTCCTTCCCCCACCCCAGCGGCCTCCTCCCTCACCACGGCGGCGCCCCTTCCCCCACCGCGGCATCCTCACCCACCGAGAGTGCCCAATGCCTGCAGATCTAGTGGTCGTCTCCCCCACCCCAGCGAGATCCATGGAGGTGGCGAAGCGGTGTTGCCGGGGAGTGGACGTGGCTCTCCCCACCCCAGCGTGGCCCCACCCACCCCTGGCGATGCCCTCTCTCACCCCTGGTGACCGAGCTCCCTCCCACCCGGCGGCCAAATCGGCCGCCCCACCCTTCCCTCCCTATGTTGCATGTGTATGTTTCAAATGTTTCAAGAGTTTCAGATGTATGTTGCATTTGTTTCATATGGATGTTGTAAAAATAGATCGGGGGATGTTGCACATGTTGCATATGTTGTAATTGTTTCAGAGGCATGTTGCAAGCATATGTTTCAAGTGTTTCAGTTGTTTCAGATGTATATTTTATCTGTGTTTTTCGGATGCATGTTGCAAGTGTGTTTATCTGTATGTTGCATATGTTTCACACATACGCGTTTCAGATGTATGTTGCAACTATTGTATTTGTATGTTTCAAAAGTAGATCTGGTATTGCATCTCTCGTCCCCACCTTCTGTTGCATTGTCTCGGTGTGTACTCCTCCTAGCGCCAGCAGGGCATCCATACGACGCTGCGGCCGGGTCCTTCCGAATCAAAGGCACCGCGCGCCATTCCCCTCTTGTCGCACGGGCCCCGCGTGGAGCGTGAAACGGATGGATCAATGACGTCTGGGCGCTAGCACTACCGTAGGATCAGTGGTAGAGCTATAGGGTGATCTCCTGTGGGCTGCGGACCACCCTGTGCTCGGGCTGCCAAGGCCCATAGGATCTGGAATCCGAGACATCCAAGCCTCTGTGAGCCAGTTTGTCGCTACGTCTTTGCGTCTGTCTTCGTCCCTTTGCAGCGATGCTTCCTATTCTTCTACTAGAGTAATGGTAAAATATTACAATTGGAAGTGAATTATGGTAAAATATACCAAACACCACCAGCGTGTTCAAAATTGCAAACCACGTGGGAGCCATTAGCAACTTAAACAATTATGGTAGAAAATGTCACCCCTAAAAGATCTGCTGCTACTTTTTGACGAAGAAAGGCATGCGAATTTCCCAAGTCAATCAATATAAAACTATGTCGTGGCCCTAAAAATTGCATTTAAACCTCAGTGTCGTGGGCGTTGTTTATCGCTTCGAAGGCGTTGAATGTTTGCTGCTCCCATTAATGATCACGTGAGGTGGAAGCCAACTCGCGTACCCGCATTGGTCTGTTCGGCTTCTCTTCTGGCTGCTCCTGCCCGATCCATCCATCGGTCAGCTCTCAGCTGGCATGTCACGCTCACGCCGATCCATCTCTGCGTCTGACGCGTCGGTCGGAGCTTGCGGTTCCCGAGGGAGCGCGTTGACGCGAGCCAAAAGTGGCCCTGCCCGACGCACTACTACAGGCCCAATACGAGACAAAACTGGGCCAACTACAGCCCACCAAGGCCCGGACACTCTTCCTCCTCTGCAAGCGGCACGGGCGCACGGCGGCACCATCAGTCCACGGTCCACCACCGCTACCTGCGGAACCCCACAGCCCGCGGAGGCGCAGACTTATACTGATTTCAGGTACTTTGTGCTTGATTCTTGTGGTGTAAACGCTCAAAGTGAGCAGAGGCCATTTTTCAGTCAAGGCTAAGATGGCAATTCCAGCATCCTATCGCTCAACTATCTGGTTTTTGAAGTTATGGGAATACCGAACACATGCTTCATGTTCATCCGTGGAGTAATTTGACCTGCACCATTGTATGTTGTTCACCCCAAAACTGTTATAGTATTACTTTGTTAGAAGTTCTTTCATCCCAGAGGAAGGCTTACTTTTGGTTGGTCTGGTTTCTAATGGAGACCCTGTGGTTTTGGGATCCCATGGCATCAGAAAATGGACAAATTGGTTATTGGCCAAATATACTTATCGGGTTGGAGCATGCCATTTCATGCCCCCCCCCCCCTCCCTCCAAGCAACAGAATTAAGAATTACACTGTACATTGTTCAAGTCCCCGTTCCATGATGAGGACTTGAGATTGAGGAGCAACAAACTGAGCAACCCAGGTGTTCTCGTCATCACCCTACCTTCCCTATATCTGGTGGTCGTCCCTGTAATAGTCCTTACATATGGCTAGTTTGCAGAACACAAATACATAGTACGCTGCTCACTCAACAAATGTGTTCACTTAATCGGCATATGCAAAAAAAAAGGAGCGCTTTTGAGGCGAAGCTGGGCGCTGCCCCCCCCCCCCCACACACACACAAACACGCGGTCACTCCAAGTCTGAAACACCACCCTGCTGCTGTCTCACCCCAGCAGAGGCCGAGCGTGATCTTGTTTCTAGGTGTCGGCGCGAGACAGAACGTGTCGGGAGCTTTGCTAGAAAGAGAGTTGGGGAATTTAATATTCCAGTCAATTAATTACATTAGATAAGACGCAATGGATGATCAGTGTCGCCACAAACAACTCAGAAGTGTCTAACTGAGGACAGCAGAATCAGCAAGAGTTCCCAAATCTCATGAACCACATCAAGCTGCACTTTGGTTACACATGAATCAAATGCTGCTTTATCGAGGACAACACGATCGAGATGCTTGTTCAATTTGAGCACATCAAGCTTCTGATCAGCCACCGCCGAATCCTTTTTGTGGCATCCACGAATCTGATGCCACTTGGAGAAGCTTCCAGCTCTGTGGCCCATCACATCCTTGAGCTTCTTGTTGTCAGAGAAGGGATTCAACAAGTTTTGGTCGAACTCTGAGAAACGCCTCTGGAACTCGTCGAGGATGAGCTTTCTCTTGAGATCCATGGCACTGTGGCTGCATAATAAATGGCTGAGGTGTGGTTGCAGCAGTTCAGACTCCTGGGTCGTTGATCCACAACACAAATCGATCAAACTGGAATGGAATTACGGAATCTCAAGCCCCAAATGGAAGCTCATTGATAGAATTCACGTTAGACCGACCAATTATATATAGTGTTCAATCGATGGATGGGATAAGGGGAACAGAAGACGACCCATGATCGATGAATCTGATACCAAGATTATATAGGGATAAATATATAAGAGGAATAGTTCAGAGAAAAGCAAGGGCAACTTTGAGGAGTTTGAGCTGAGTTGAGATTGAGTTCTCTGTTACACTTATACCTTGTTTGTTCACCAGGAGTTTTCTCATCAACTAAACAGCTACAGCTAGTTGCTCCATTCTGGGCTGCTGACCCATAGCTTGGGGGGTGCTGAACGCTTGGTCACCCCTGATCTGATCATCATATGGCCTGCTGACACACAGTTTCGTCATCATGTCAGAAGGCTCTCTACCAGTGCACAATTCCTATTTTATGCTGGAAGATTGCAAATTGTGAACTCAGTGCTTTCATCCCTACCAGCCTACTATATGTGCTCCCTAAAACTGCCAGTAGCTGTCATTGAAGCAATTGACAAATATAGGAAAAACTGTCTTTAGAGGCAGTGATTTCGGAAGGAAAGAGTACAACCTTGGAGCATGGAAATAGGTTATGAAGCCCCAAGGAGAAGGAGGCTTTGTGGGGGCTACATCAGAATAGGTAGTTTTCAGTCAACTCAATGTACAGAGCTTTGTTAGGAGTAGAAGCTATACCATATAACACTTTAATCTGGAAACTTAAACTACCTCTCAAAATCAAGGTCTTTATGTGGTACTTGTACAAGAGAGTGATTCCCCAATTTTTTATAATTTGGCCCCTATTTTGAACAAAATTTACATTTGGCCCCCTGAGAGACTTAAACTCATCTTTGGACCTTAGGGTCGGCGCCAGGACTCATGGCACCGAGGTAACACGTCTCGGCGCCACAGATCTTGGAGCCGAGGTGCCTGGCCGAGCACAGTAGGGCATCCTAGGTGGCGTTGACGTGGCGATACCTCGGCGCCAGAATACATAGTGCCAAGCTCGGTGCCACAGATCTCGGCGCCAAGACCTGTGGCGCCGAGCATTGATAACCACGTGTGGCCGCCGCAGCTCTCTCTGGTGCTCTATCTCTCACGCTTTCACACTCTGTGACATGAAGGCTGATGGATATTAATGTTAGATTGATCTCTAATACCAAACTGGGTCCAACGGCCTAGTTGGGCCTTTGATTCGTGCCCTGATCGAGGGCGCCCAGCCCACTATGGCTGGAGGTCCCCTGTCACACTGTGCTATATATAGAGGTGGGGGTCGGCGGCTCTGAGTACGAGGTTTACCGTGAGCCGAGCTCCCCACTGAAACCTAAACCCTAATGCCGATCAGAGAGGGGCGCAGCCAGTGACGGGAAGCCACCAGCCGCACCGCCCCGCTCCACCGACATCGACGACTTCATTGACCTCTTCCCCGAAAGTCGCTGCCCGTGCACAGACTTCA